CCAGGGCCCAAACATTCTTTCGCATTGGCCGAGTACTTCTGTTCAGCATTAGTCAGGGGACGTCTGGCATATTCGACAACTCCATTACTCCGCTTTAGGACTGTTCCGATATCGAGATCACTAGCGTCCGTTGCAACAGTAAGCATCTCTCCGACCCTGGGCAGTTGATGATCCCATATCCGCGCATTGGCACGCTCAAAAGCCTCATGTGCTTGCCCGGTTCATTCAAAGTTCTGATTTTGCCCGACCAAGTCATACAGTGGCACAGCGACTGTGTTGAAATCCTTAATAAACCGGCTGTAGTATGCCCCTCGTCCAAGAAAATACCGTAGAGACCACCTGGAATTGGAGACTGCACACTCCTTGATTGTGCCAATTTTTCTGGCAGTGGGCTAACTTCTCCATGACCCAATTTATGCCAGAGCAGTGGCACCGGACTCCAAGAGAGCTGCGACTTGGCTTCATTTATCCCAGGTCAGCATCCCGGATCCGCTTCAATATAACCTTCAATTAAACTACGTGCTCGGTTTCCGCATTACAGTCCGCGTGCACGGCAACATTCTGGGATCCCTTCGTAAAACAAAGCGTCAAACGCCGGAAGGTGAGTGGCGCACCAGACAAACAAAGCGGCATTCTCCTAGATTGATATTTGGTGTCCCCAATAAAGAACACTTTCCACCCGGTCCTCCTCATTGATTAGTAGTTGCCAGTATACGGGTGCAAAGTCGAGCACTGAAAAATATCGAGAAAGACAGAGGGCATCGAAAATCTCTGCAACCGAAGGCACAGCTATGACCTCATTTACGGTCAGTTCATTCAGGCGCCGGAAATCAAGACATAGCCGGTATTTAAAGTTCGCCTTCCTTACAAGCACAACCGGTGGGTTTTACGCACTTTGGCTTTTTCGGTTATGCCCATAGATGGAGAGTCAGCGGACGGGGGCCATGAGGTTGAAAGCGTTCTGACGACAGAGGTATTTCGGACAGAAGCACAACGGATTCTCATCACCCGTGAACAGTACGGAATATTCCTCGAACACGGGCCGTGGTGACGGTGCGTGACAAGACGGAAGTTTTCGACTGGAAAATCTTCAAGTTTGATTGCGCCATACTTTGTGACGAGCTTTCGCTGCTTTAGGACAATCACGAAATCTGTGCCCTCGTTAAAATCCGCCCATAATATTGTCTTTTCTATATCTGGGCTAACCAGAAACGCGCGCTGCACGGAAATGTCGTCTAAGCGTATCTAGTACATTGACAACCCGTCAATCTTCAGCCAATATCTACCCACAGCTCTCACGGCTAGCGCGCACGGTCTGCGGTTAGCCTGGTTCCGTTTCCACCTCAGTGATACTCCCGCTACTGAATCAATCAAACATAACTCCCTCTTCTCGTTTATCTCGTTAACGGTAGCTTATATCAGTGTGCTAATCGCGACCTACCCAGGAAAGAGGAGTACACTAAAATTTTATTAGTTGCAGGTGATCGGGTACGGGGACACTGATTCTTCAATGGCCACGCCTGCCAGGCTTGCCTCCGCGATTCCGTCTTCACGGCTACAGGCTGTTCGGCGAGTCGGTCCACTCTGTTCTGTAGTTCGTCCACTGGTGAACCATCCCTTTTCTTCTGCGTCTACAACGTGACGAGTAGTGCCTCTGGCAGTTCCCCAACCAGACATACGAACTCTTCCACACTCGACTGGCCACTTGTTCATGCCAACCAAAATTGGGCATCAAGCCCTGGCTGTACACATTCGACGTACTGGTCGGAAAGCAACTGGTGGCGCGGTACCTCGGCTGATCCGGAAAAGCACGGTTCAACAATTGCTGCAGGCCGTTGAAGAACACTGTCATGTAACATCTAAGTGCCATTCCCTGGCCATCTTGAACCGCCTCATAGCTTCCCGGCGGTCGGTTGGCGAGTCAAACTCCGTTGCAGGGATTTTCTTTGTGGCGACCCAGTCCATCTTTCGAGGACCTGTTCCGGCTGCATACATGACCGCCTACACCCGACCCGTGAGGAGGGTCTTCAGCGCGACCAACTTAACGCGGTTGGTCTGTAGACTCTACAGCCTACGAAACCTCCAGAAAATGCCAACTGATCAGTTACAGACTATTGGACAGGGAAGCAAAACTCGCATGTGAATCTTGTTCACAAAAACTAAACATCAATTTTCTCCTGAACGCGTCTTCCTGAACTTTCCTCTATATTCATTGACTGTTGCTCAAGTCCGAGAAGATGTCACAACCGACTCCACAAACTTCGCAACAGATCTCCCATTTCAAGAGATGCTACGCGAATCTACAAGAAGTAAACCTGCAACCCGCATGTCCTCATCATAAGTACTATCAACGTTACGCGGGTAGGCAATGGATTTTTATAACTTGCCATGTCAAGGGCAGGTGGATTTACCGTGTCTCGTACCACTTAACGCAAATCATGTAGTTTGATGTCTTCTTTTTTGTTAGGACCGCTCTATATCGTTGGGGTTTTGATAGTCTAAATAATCACACGGAAGCACCTCACACGTGGTATACTCGAGTAGGAAATGCACGCAAAATACAAGCGAAATACACAGTTTTCAATTTCAAGTTGGCTATCACAGGGGATTAACTGTTAAGAATATTTCCTTTAATGGAATTTTTTACCCGTTATTCGAATCCAAAACCGTGTGCTAATGAGTGTACTAAGCATGAGAAAAATAATGCAAGTTCAAGAGTTAATTTGGAAACAACTGTTATACCAAATGACGGATTAACCGGACTTTTTCTAATGCGAAGTATGCCATGCACATACAGGACAGCAAAAACATTACACTGATGAGGGCTCATCAGGTCCAAGAGCAGGCTGAATAAAAGCATACCACAGCAATACTGGCTTTGCCGTAGCAATCAAATGCTATCCAGAAATTTCAGATGCTCGCACGATTTGGCGTTGTAGCTCCCTAGGTTAGCAACAGTTTTGTTGACAGCCCAAATCTTTGTTCAAATTATAACAGAATTTCTTCCGTTAGTACAGCCAGTACACGCTGAAAAATCGAGAAGCCCTGTACGGAGGTTTCACCTTTATTAATTATCATCACCAGCGTGCAATTCGCGGAACTCAGATATTCAAACACAGTACTTTCCAGCCAATGGTTGAATGCGCAATGATTTGGTCACCAGCGGTTGATCTGGAGGGCGATCAATGCTAACCTATTCAGGACATGATGCCACTTATTCTCAAATCACGGAGTCACGTCACATATTGACTAACCTCTCGTCTAAAGGGTTCGCAAAAAGATGTGCTACAAACATTTTTATATTTGATCTTTTGAGTTATTTGCCGGCTGTTGTTTGCTAAGGAGGTTAAGGATTTTCACTGAAAATTTTAACCTGGGGTTGAGGCTGACTTATGCTTAAAACACATAGGCATTGTAGAGTTTTTCATCCCTACCTGAACTCATGCCAACTGCACATCAAACGGTCTCACACAAGGAAACTTCTCGTCGATAGTTCAAATATCAACCATCCGACTGTGTCCGCGTTTACCGAGGCCGTTGCCATTCGATTCCTGATTTTTGAGCAGCAAACGTTTATCCACTACAACCAATTGAACTGACGCTGTTTTTATATTATTGTCTGAAGTTTGTACATATCAAGCTAAATCGACAAAGGCTTAGGCTAGAGCTCACTNCCTGAACACCATGAAGATTGTCCTACGCACGCTTCTGCCCCAATGCAAATGCTTCATATTTAATATGTTTTATCCCGTATATGGTCTGTACGAGCCGGAAGATGAATCATTGGTGACACCTGTAATCCTATATTCCGTTTTGTTCAACAATGCAGTTACAGTCGCCCGGCATTCTATTTCTAATGATGGCTCATAGTTTACCAGCGACTGAAAGTGATTTATCATCATCGACTGAAATCTTCCCTTGACGCCAGACTATTTGCACATTGAAAATTAATTAATGGCTACAGTAGAGAACTATAGAACAACTCGTATTTTTTAAACAGCAGCTTGCTAGAATAAATATCGTATACGTGGAACAAAGACTGATGCAGTGGTTCTCGTCATGGCTCTCCTAGAATGAAATAGAATAAGGAAGTGGTGTCGCAAATGTTTCCATTGACTCAAGTACCTGGTATTCAGGTTATCAGTTAACGCACAGGTAACTTAAAGTATGTGTTCATATCATTTAACAGACCATGGCTTTTCACAGTAGCATTACTTTACTATTCGGTGTGCTTCCCTTGGTAGTCATAGTTTGAAGATACTCAAAACCTCATTTGCACTGAAAGAAACGGATTGTATTCCAATTTCATCCCGAAAACATTGCACGGTGGACAAAACATTTTGTGTTTTGTTTCGGTTTACCATCCATCAGCTGAATTATATTGGTGATCACTTGGAGACCGCTTTCACTTGTGGGACAATGTCTATGGATTAATTAGGGTGTGTATAATGTGCGACGAAGGCGGGCGTACTTTAATTAAGTTGAATTATTGTTGGATGGATCAGTTTTCTGCTTGAAGGTTACCTGAATCTTGATCATATAATTTATGAGGCCACAAGCTATTACTGCGAGCTACACAAAATTAACCCAATGACACTTAACAACACAGTGTCCACACTTAACTCGCGGAACCGAAGGTGCAAAAAACTCCTTGACAGCACACGACCGGTTTCACCCATATTGATGTTCCTTAGGTGGGTAAGCCCCGATTCGCCAAAACGCAATTGAACTGATTTCGATAAATACACTCTTTTGCACTCGACTCAACCCAACCTTGCTGAATGTATTGTTTGTAGTAGTCCGATTCAATAAGTTCTCACCATCATTTGATATACAGGTTTTATTTCCGTCTATCGCTTCTGGGTGCCGTCAGTAATGCAATCTGGTAAATATGAATAAGTGTGGAAAGCAGAAGGAATTACGCGTGGATCCACATACCTTTTTGTGATAATGAAAATTGAACCAAACGTAATTATGAGTTAAAATATTATATTTCTTTTCTGACTTCATAATTAACCTTCGACATCTGGCAAAACGCAGGTTAAATACGGAAAATAACAGCCGTGCTCACTATTTCGAATGCCTCTATAAAAGGTCATGTATTAAATTTGAGAATGTACCCAAGGATTTTATTCATTCCGCACAAAGTGTTCCTTTTCGACATCAACAGGTCTGAAACAGGTAAAGAACATGAATGTCACATGGTATTTGGAGCGATGGTAAGATGTATTATTATATGGATATGCACTTACCTAATTCGGGGTACGCGGTATTTCTTTGCTGTAACAAGCCAAACATCTCGAGTTTAGTACAGTTAAAAAATATTGGTTAAGCTCAAAAGTGTGAGAAGCTTACCTAAAGCCTCTGATAGGTTGCAGTTTTCGTGTTCACAACAGTAATCGCCAGCTTTATTTTCCACACAAATCCCTTTTTCACATTTGTAATCATAATGATTGTCAGCACCGTATTTGATAAACTGGGACAAAAGAAATATTTTTGATGAATGCATGAGTGATGAAATGATTTGGCACATCAATATGAATAAGACATTATTCGCAACTGATACCTTGCAAAATCTGCACCCGTCTTCATAGGTAATTACCCTGTTATTAAGTTCATCCGCACTGTCCCGCTGGCGCACTTAATGCCTGTGTACAATTATACGCCAGTTATAGAACTCACTTCTGTAACACAAAAAGTAAATGTGTTAGTATAGATATTTGCTAGATCATTTACCTCGAAAGGTTTTTGTCGAATCTCCTGGCTAGTACAGGTAAATTTAAAGTCGTGTAAATATTCGATTGACGGCGCATCATGCTTGCATGATGGACCTACTTACCCATTGTTTCATTAACATTGCAAAAATCTGTCTCGCAGAATATACCATCTTTGAATATGCCCGCATTCTCTTCAGTAATACAGTTGTGGCCCTTGGGCTGTCCTCTCAACTAAAATGCATCAGACATGTGAAGATAAATAAAAATAGCATAATAGGATCTTAGGTTGAAAAACGTAACAATCAAAAACTTGCCCAACAATATATGCATCCTTTGGCCAAATATGATTTATATTTGTGGTAAAAAACACACTGAATGCCTGCAAAATAAAGCAGGAAACGTAAAATTTGCGTACCGCAGGACGTCCCAGAGGCGACTGACATCATATACTGAAACGCCACCAGCGCCACTATGACTAAATTGAGGAGAAGCATGCTGCGTGGACACTTGATTTTTGGAAGGTGTGCTTATATAGGCTGCAAACATGCGTAAACCTGTGCGCAAGCAATCATTCAATCTCTCTGAAGAATATTTAATGTGTGATCCACCTCACAAAGTATGCATCCTAAAATAGCAGCTACCATCTTTGGAGCAAATCATTAGTACTATCATCTTCATGTGCTTTTTCGAGGTCGTAATAAACGTTGCTGTTTCGTGTTTGCCATCAATAAACACTTGGCCCGGTGTCGCCTATTAAGTGTCTTTTAGATGCGTTTTCACTGATTGTATAAACGGCCAAAATGAAGAGCTTTTTAAAATTTGTTTAAAATAGTGGTTGTTACCACGGGCCTTCCAGATTCACCAGTAGGGTTGGTATTCGACTCCTCGCGTCGCATCGTACGACGTTATTGCCCAAGTCCATTTGTTTCCAGACCCCGGCAAAAAGTTTCTTCCTAAATGATATCGGTAGATATGTCTTGAAGGCCCCGGTGTCAATCAGTGCCGAAAGCTTCGCTGCTAGCATGGTGCCAACATCTTCCAACGTAATACTGAAAAAGAGATATTCATCAAGTAATTCGTAACGCATAGTCGTTTTGATTTTCCCAGCCTTGATGCTTATACATGTGTTGGGTCTATTAGAGACAGTAAGCAATAAAGGGTGTCAGTTGAAAATGGTCACGGGTAAACATGAGGCTAGTCTTCGGAACAGTTTGGTGACCATCGGTAGATTTATTCCTGGGCAACGTTTTGACACAAAAGGCGGAAGGAGAACCGATCAGCTAAGTCAAGCTAAATCTCTGCTGGGTGTCGGCCGAGGGATTTTGGTGTGTTAGAGTGGTTGAACAGTCTCTATAATGGAAATGTTTTGCATTGTCGCTTGACAGCCCCCAAAGCTGACATAAGCGGACCGATTTCAGAGGGCAAGGCTCCAGGGGACAACCAAGTTTTTTTATGGTGAATGGATATCGGTCCAACTGGACGATGAAGGCAAGCGGCGGTGCGAAATACGAACACGGGAGAATGGCTTCATATGTAGGAATGGAGCTTCCGTCGACCGCATCATCACGGATACAGACAGAGAATACGAGTGTATAACCTCTGCCTTCTATCGCGTGGCGCACCCATCTGAAACTTGAGCAATACTGCTCGGGAAATGAACTATCTGGGATGTTGAGTTGACCCAATTAACCTCTGTTCCTGGTGGCAATTTGAATGCATTTATTATCAATACGACCGTCTAGATTGCAGAGGAACACCTAATATTCACATATTATTACCCCGTTCATCAAACTAATTCCAGCTACTTTTGCTCCATCATTTGTGCGCCCTTTGGCCTCATCCACATTTCTTCGACATAACTTATGAGAGCGAATTAAGTTCAAAATTAGGAGGGAGAAATATCTAACCGGTAGCTCTGTGTTTGGAATCCTGTCTGTTTGATTACCCTAGTCTATATTTGGGCGAACTTTTATCATGTCAGTTCCCGAGTATCCTCCGTGTTGAACGGCAGTTGGGTGTCAAAAGAATTCTACACCTGAAAGGCTCCGTTTTTGATGATACATTCGACAAAAAAATTTTCATAGACGTAGCTAAACGTAATCTAAGCCGGTTGGCTCAATACAGTCTGGTCCCAAATTCAAAACGCCTGGATAATCTAGATTCATGTAATGCAGTGTACAAATACTAATGTTAATAGATGTTCTTCCGGGAGGTACGTAGGTTTTAACTTATTTAGGAGCCTCATAGCTCAAATAACGTCCAGTTTTTTCCTTCCAGTTAGACGACCCTTATTACTGTTCTTGTGATGTATAGTTTATGCGAAGTTATTGGGCCGAAACAGTGAAATAAATTCTAGAAAAATTTGGAGATTAACACGACCGCGGATCCCCGGAAGCCCAGAATTATATTGGGCAATTTCTCATGCATAGACAGCCCGTGAGCAGAATACGACCACAGCCAGTTGGTCAGCTATTACAGGAGCCTTCATCGGTTAACACTGTGTGCCCGATTTAATCCCCTACGAATTTACGCGGATTCCATGTGGACTTGATTTGGCCAGGCCAAGCGAGTCTTAGGAAACAGGCACTGACGGCTGGTGACGTAATCACCCCTAAGAATGTGACCAACTGTTCAACTGTAGCTCAGCCATTACGACCCTCCGATGTATTGCTGACCCAGTCAAATCAGACAGACCCAAATCAATATATTGATTTACGCGTGGCCATCGAAACTGGAACTGTGCCACCGGTCTATCGTATGCACCAGGAAATAGATAGGCCCATTTTCGATGCATACGAAGAAGTCCTTCGACCAAACTGCACTCTCGCTAGCAGGGGATTTATTTGCGGGTTTTGCAAGGACTATTCCAGCCTGTACGTTCATGAGTAGGCACAGAGACATTTTGTCCATTATTACTGCTACAAAATGCAATGACGTGACTGAAATGATGAATAATGCGTCATTTTCCCTTGCTCTCGTTTAGCAATGAAAGCCCCCTGACCTTTCCTAACGAAGGCTACTAGTCTGCCTTCAAAGCTAATCAACCAAAACTATAGTCGCTTGTGAGAGTTTGACGTTTTATGTACATTTGGAAATAAATATATATTTTTTCAGAAGTTCCACTCGAAAAAATTCCAATCGATGTCACAGTCCGTGGCGGAAAAGTCAAAAATTTTCCAGACAATGTTGCTTTCAATTTTGCCTCAATCAGTTGAGAAGAAAATTGTCAAGAAGCTTCTGAGAGTATTCGCAAATGCTTGTAGCTGGCTTCGGAAATCATCGTGTTTGTGCCAAGGGCACCTGGGCTACCTAGTCACACTTGAAAATTGGCTGCAGATGATAAAACGGGATTAAAATAGCCTGGAAATATGTAGAAAAACCTGAAAACGTTCGTCCGCTGAGACTAACCTTGTAATCTTGATTATCCATTCGTGTTTTCTTCCAGCGTTCCAAATTACAGGAACATAGTTTACGGTACCCAGAATATGTTTCTTTGTGAAGTCTCCAAATATGACCGTTCCAAATGATCCGTCTCCAAAACGAATGGGACAATGAAAAACCCTGAAATCTTGTAATTTGAATGCTCAAAAACATTAGCGCGCCTCCGACATTTCAAAAATATTTCAAAATGTTTCAAATGAGCCAACAACGCTGACTTTCTGCAACGACAAAAAGTCCGCATTAATAGTTTGTACGAGGATGATCTCCAAACTTGATGATAATGGTATGAAACTGTTTAGACGATTCATCGACCTTATGAGTGGTTTGGATTTAGCTTGTCGATACTTATCTCCAGTTATATATTTCGAAGAGAGTTTACTTGGAGCTATCTATAATATCCGATAGTTTTAATTATGTGATTTGCTTGCGTTTCATCCAGAGTGGATACTGAAACTTGAATGTTTATCAGTCTATGAAAGAGCCGGAAGCAGACCAAATTCTTCCGCTCAATGTATTGTTTAAGCGTCGCGAAATGTGTCGTTTTGCGGATATACACTTGCATAGTGTGAAACTCAGATAGGTAGAACGATGATTACCAGCGGTCTTTAACGTCCGGAGAAATTTGTTGAACAAATCAACGGGTGAAGGAACACTTGAGCAAACCCGGGTTTTGTGCAAGTGTCATTGGTATAGGATGAAATGATTGTCACACGATTGCTTCCAAAACTAGTAGCTGATAGCCAAATTCATCCTTGTCTTCACAATTGAGCTCGCAATTGTATCGCCCTAAGGAGATGTACCCACCGACGTCTGGTTGCACACTCATTTTGCACAAAGTTCTTGTTCGCCAGTCGATGAAACTGCCTGGTTTTTTATCAACACGACGAATGGTGTGACACGTTGAGAAATATTTGCATACCAACGCTTGCTCCTTTCGTTGAGAAAATGGAGACATTGGCTACTTTGCTCTAAATGTGCGCACAATTTTTCACTTTACAATTTGTCTACAAAAGAATGAATTCTGTTCCCGTTACTACCTCTGATAGGAACCTTGTGACGAGCTTTGTCACAGCAACTGCTGTCAGCGTGAAACGCCAGCGGGAATATCCAACGTCACTGAAAAGAAAACCGTTTTTAACTCACTCCTATTTCGCAGCAGAGCAAAATAACCCAACTCTTTCATTCGCAGCCAATCGAATCGGTCTTCTTCTTACATTCACAATCACGCCTTATGCTGTTGTACTTTAGTTCCTACAGAGAGCATTGCCGAACGCTGTGTTTCAGCGCACATATACATCCCCGTTTTATATATTTACGAGCTGTTTCCAATGGAAGCTCAGAACGCCTAAGCGCCTTTGTGGTGCCCACGCAACAACTTGGGAAATAACGTCTCTCAGCAATCGTATAAAGTGTCAAACGGCTGTTCGGTTAGGAACGTTTCACAGGTCCATTTCCGTAATGTCACGTTTAAAGACACTCACTTTTGGTTTTTTGGATACCGTTGTTTAGTCAAGTGTGTTTACTTCTTTTGCTCCGGTTATTAGGAACATCTATTCGTGTTATTATCTGGAGATGAACCATTAATAGCGGTGGAAAATTATTGTCGCCAAGGGTTCATCTTCCGGCTTGTGATAGATGTTCACTTGATAATAAATCAACTACACGCTGAGTCCTGTAATTCTTATGGTTAATACGGGTTTGCCAGCCATGCTTTTTCCATTATTTTATGTACTCTATGAGAAGCTCGCAAAATCTATCTACCCATCGAGCTCGCAATATCTACCTACCCATTTTTCCGTACAGTGTTTTGCCTTACAAATAGCTGTTTGTCCACATGGGTGAAAATTCATTGGTGCTAGTCAGTAAGGAACAGTAAACCGTCAACTCAGACAAGCTTCCCCACACTTGCTGCATTTTAGCTTGCTGTTATTCCGTACACTC